AAAGCAAAAAAATGATAGCAATAATCAGTCAGTAATGTAATAAACATGATTACTTCTAAATTCAGAATCCTCCCAAAGGCACTCTTAACTCCTGTATGCAAACCTCTATGGTTTATACGGGAAATGAAATGCACAACATTCATGACAATGATTTTATCCTTCCTTTATTCCTTCCCGCCTTTTCCTTCCCTTTCATAATCTCTGCTCTCGTATGGCCATTTTGTAAAAAATATACTTTATTGATACCCAGATCTGGATGAAGATACGAACAGCGTGATACGATGTGCTTGAGACGATGATGGTTTTACCATCATATATATTATAATAATTCTAAATAAAATAAAACAAGCTGCATTCACGGCTTTTAAAGTGGTTCTGATTACTACTAAATTAAACATAATTCTATTCCATTACATTTCATATACATATATATATAACTTGTTTGCAGAGAGAAATAGAGCATTCGGATAATCGCTTTCCCATTAAAAAATAACATAAAGAAGGCTCATTATTTCCAAATGGAATCTATTTCTTCAATGACCATAATATGGCGGAAACGTAGTATTAAGCCTGAAAAAAATAAATGGCTTTATATATTTACTCATTAACAAAATTCAATAATCCTATCATCAGTTATTTAAAGTTATATAATATTACTTTCAGTTATTTAAGAAAACAGGCCAGAAGTAGGTTTGTTTTCCTTTCCGATCTTTTTTCTCTTCAATTTTACAATAAACTTTATTCCACCAAGCAAAAAAAAAAAATGCAAAACGACTCCTGAAATAACAAACCATTCAGCAACACAAGTGTGAAATATAAACACTTACGCAGTTGCGAAATCCACGCTAGGAAATAAGTTACGAATGTTAGTTTTATTTGCATCATCAACTTCGCGTTTTACGTCAATCATCGGTCGCACAACAGCACAACGAGCACTCGGTTTACGTACAACACCCGTTGTTGATGGTGGAATAAGTACAGATGAACTGCTGCTCAGAAGCGATGAACTCATTGAACTCGCTATACTCGCATTCTCATTGCTTAACCTGAATAGGCGATATATAAAAATTAGTGTCCACAGACGGACATCACCTTGCGTTGATCAGCAGCATTGATTAGTATGAGTAATGCAGAAAATTTCAACATTAAAAATACCTCCAAATGGCAATGGTTAATAGACACAGAACCTACATTCATACAAAAAAGGATAGCAAAGATAAGCAACAGAAAGAAAAATCCGAAAGAAAACGACAATTCCATTTCCATTTATTCTGTCCACGAATAAAAAAAAATATTCGAAATAATGACCGAAATAATTTTTGACTTTCTTTTTGCAGACACACCAGTACAAAAAAGAAGGTATTTCTTTTATTCAGTAATACCTCTTTTTAGACCCATAAAATGAGGAAATGGTAAGAGAAGTAGGAAGTACATCTAGTTTCAACTGCCGACCATAAGCTTTCTTTCCAGAAATATATTTCCAGAATTTATTTTTTTCCCATTATTTCAAAATTGCTAGTTTCTTTTTTTTTTATCATTGTAGTATATGTATTGATGAAATTTTCGCGTGACCGAACAGGTTTCCATATAATCACATCCTTAAATTATACGGACCGATCACTTAGGAAAGCAACAAATCCGACAATATTTTGGTCATCGTCTGTCTATTGACGATAACATGATTACTGATTTTGCAGGTGATGACGTGCTTTTAACTTTCATACTTTTTGCAGCCCTATAATATTCAATGTTTGAGCGATTTTCTTTAATTTATTTTTCTGCTAGTTACAATTAGGCTTTTTGTGAAGCATATAAAGCTTCAATGCTGAGCAAATATGCAGGAAATGACATCTGTGGCAGTTGGAAATCCATGACTTGGTCTGCCTGTCCTTTTTTAAACCTTCTAAACTGTGAAATATGCTATTCTTCCTGTTATTTTTATATAAATGATGTGATAACCGTACATTAGTGCGTCGCTAGAGATACAATCTATAAATTTCCTAGTTTTTAAATTCAGAATCTTTCATTTATATGCATTAATGATTTTGGATGAATAGCAGTTAACCAATATAAACTTCAAAAAGACTGAGGGAGAGAGCGAAGAGGAGGAGGGAGGGGAAAAGAGAGAAAAGGAGAAAAAGAGACACAGCAGTATTGATTTGTTACATTTCCTTCAATTTTTTATAAAACAGAGATGAGATTCTATGAATTTTATGGAAGAAAGCTCGTGGTCGGAATTAGATCATTGGAAACCCACACAAAAAGCACAATACATTAGCAAAAAAAACTTACCGTGCTGCTTCAAGTTGGTATTTTGGCGTTTCTAAACCTGACGCAGTGCTATTCATCCGTGGTCCAGCTGCTATAATTGCTGGATCTTTCGCAAGACCGCTTGGGCCCGATCTCATACGTAAATTAGACAGGTTAGTACTTGTCGGCAGTGTTCCGCTGGGGTTTGTTGAAGCTGCTGACGCTTGTCGTCCACGGACCTGCTGTTGCTGCACAAGATCATTCTTTAAAAAAATCAACCATTATTAAAAGTTATTTGAATTCTTTGTCCATCCTCCTTCCTCTCTCCAAACACTAAATCTAGATAGAATCCTTCTCCTTTCTGTACTTCATAAATAACTAATATTATAATGACGGCGTCTGCTAAAAACTTACCCGCTATAATGACTTTTGCATGCCACAAGGATTTACAATCCAAATCGACAAAAAAATATGTTGGACAGAAATACATACCCAAAATAAGGCAGCAGGATCCGTATTCGCTAAATCTGGATAATTTTTGATTTGTGGTGCCAGAAGATGCGAAAAAGGACTGCCCGCTGCCACCGCTGCAGCCAATGCGGCAACATTACGCGTCGTTTGTAAATGAGCAGGTAGGATGAATTCATTAGCAAAAAGTGCTGTTGTATTCGGAAGAGTCCACGGCATCAATGAAGCTGTAGCAGCTTGCGTCCACGCCGCCGGAGCCGGAGGGATAGCTTGCGTTGCTAGCATTGGACCATCAACAAATGGAATTGAAACAAGCTGTGGTACCAAAGTTCCAGCTGCAGCTGCAGCAGCAGCAGCATGTGGGTTTATGAAACCTGCGAATGGAGCTTGACGTGCAGCTGAAATATGATCATTATTTTTGCATTAAGCCGACAATCACAATCTCAAATTGTTGCAAAAAGAACAATGATAGAAGCGGTAAACTGATTTGCTGTGGCGAGCAAAAATGGTGACCAGAATGAGAAATCTTCCGTTCCTCACACCTATATCCAACTTCATTACAATCATTTTTTACACAGGATTTTAGATTACAAAACTATATATACTTTTGCCTAAATTTATTCAACTTCAAAACCTTTATAACTTTCTAGAAAATGTGATTAGATGACAGCTACAATCCTCTACTCTCATTCAAATAAATACTTCTCAACATTTCCTTCAATTTCGAATCTTTTTTCAAGTATTTTTGAAAACAAACACAATTTAAAAAACTATGAGGATAATGGACCATCAAGTCGATTCAGAACAGGAGGTAAATGCTTTAAGCATTGAGCAATGGCTTGTTTATGCTACTTACCAGAATAGAAGAGTAGCATGTTTTAAGTGCAACGAAGCCTTTCAGCTATTATGAGAAATAATAAATGAATAAAGTTGAAAATCAATAATTTCAGAAATTTATGTCAGCACCACATTTCGATGGTGGGAAACAAGCCTAACATAAATTAAGAAAAACGGAAGTTAACTGAAAAGCAGTCTCATATGGTTATTATCCAGTTTTTCAGCGGAAGGGAGCAAACAAAAATTATACATGCGATAAATTAGCAGCAAAGTGAATAGGTATAAAAAGTTACCATACGGATAGACGGTTAAAGGCTGATAGACAAAGGGTAGATTGCAGCTTTGCGTACCGGCAACAGCTGCTGCTGCAGTCGCTGCACCATATTGATTCAACAGATGCGTAAGTTCCGCTTGCTGAAGTTGTGGTACTTGTGGTATTGTTGGTGCAACATTTTGTGGTGCCGCAGCGGCTACAGGTGCACTGATGATAGGAGCCGATGCACCAAGCGTTGCTGTTGGTGCAGATGATTGCGACGCTGTGGCAGCATTACGATGCTGTAATAGTTGTGAATGTGCAGCCGTACGTCCGTTACGGTTACACACTTCCATTCGTTGATGCGCAATTTGATTACTGAAATTACGAAGAGAAAAACAGACAGAACGATTTGAGTGGTATGCAAGGATATAGAGAAATCCTAAGGTAAATCTTAGGAAGTTCTGCCACATTCAGCATTACTCAGGACTTAATGCTTATCTCTTATCAGATATTACCTTTTACGAAATGGTAGCCGAGCGTCACCATCACTGTAAGAAGATCAATCCACAACGGAATAATCAGTACACTATATCGAGATTTGAAATAAAGCTAATACTTTAAATTCTATCAAGTTTGTAATTATTAATAACAACAAATCTACTTCAATGACAAAAAAAATGTTGTTTTGAGATATATTTAAATGTATATACTTACATCTCAAAAAAAAAAAAACTATTTGGTATATATGTCTAAATTATTCGAAAATTTTACTGCTTTGTTCAACTCAGCATGCATCTCACGATATTTAACTCGAATGTAGTAATATTACAGATTTTAAATTCAAAAAAATGTAAGACAAACTATTTCGTTGGACCATAAACGAAGACATGTCCCATTGTAACGAACGGATGCTGAAGACCTTCAGCCGGTGTGATACGTTTATCCTGATCAATGCTCAGCATTTTCTTCAGAATATTCACGAAATCAGCACGATCCAACTGTTCACATTCCTTATCAACATCATCCAGATCTGTTGGAATGTTTACCTGAAATCTTCCCTAATTCGCAAAACAGAAAATGCATATCACAACGGAAAATCTCTCTTGCTTCGTGATGCTTATCCAAGCAAAATGTACTTTTAGTTAGTTACAAAGAATACTTTGCATGATATTATCACTATTCCCTAGGGTACTTCATTTTTCCACCATTCCTGGACTTCTCAAAATCATCAATGTTAAAATGAAATATTCTTTGACACTCTGCTATTTTTACTTTTTGCAAATAAGCAATCCACACCTGCGAGACATCATCCAAATTGTTGAACACATATTTTCGCGTTTCTTTTGATTTGCTAGATGTCTCTTGCTCATGTTCTTCCGGAGTTTTTAAACGCCAATATGGTGCCACACCATTATCGTGAATCTAAGATTACAATGTGGTTAAGATGAATTTAAGTGACATTTCGAGCATGGTCAACAGAACTTACTGTGACTTCCCGCAGCATAAAAAATTCCTGACGATTTCACAATAATTCCCTAAAGAAATGTCTCTCTTCACTATGAAATCCCGAAGTCTACTATGTATACATGTGACCTACTAAATATCTCCCAAAAGAATTTTGGAACCTCCCCAATCGTTCTCTTGAGCCAAACTAAAAGACAATCAATAATTCATCTCTACGACGACTACACCACAATGTGATGATCATTTCGATATAGATGAAATCTCGACGTAATTGCTAAGTGAGAGAATGACTAACCTGAATACACGAACAAAAAGAAATTCATGTAAAAAAATATCACCTGCTTGAAGAAACGGTGTGTTTTAGCTGCTGTTGATAACATCTGCAACGGCGGCGGTCCCTGAGTTTGAACAATGTATCGGATTTGATCAAATTCGCTGCTGCCAGGATAAAGCGGCCAGCCGAGGTATAATTCTGCTATCACGCAACCTAACGACCACATATCGATTGCTTCACGGAAAGGTAAACCAAGGATTATTTCCGGAGCTCTGAAGATAGTATTAATAACACTACTTTTCATGACAAATTTGCATGAACTCACGGCAAAATAATTAATAATAATGGATCATAAATTAGAGCAGTAATTTATCATGTTGTTCTTAATTCCTATCAGTAAATATCCCTTCAACGCCATGAGATACCAACTTGCAATGAAAGAACACTGCACTCTCATAATCAGGTAAAAGCATATTTAAATAAGCATTTATTATACTGCAATTGCCATGTCAAACCGGCTCACTAGGTAGAGAAAATTTCAAAAACGTCAAAATTGAGATACCAATCATACTAACAATAAAAATAATAAAAAATCTCCAAACCGGTAATAGCGTGATTGGAGGTAGGTATTTGTAACTGCTTTGCTTCTGTGTGATGCGGAACCAAAATCAATCACCTTCACTCGAAATGGCTGATTTGACGGATCAACTAACATTATATTTTCCGGTTTCAAGTCAGCATGAATCAATCCCAAATGCTTCAGCTTAAGCAACGCAGTAAGCACCTGAATAGTACAAACATATCAAAAGTGAAACCAAGGAACTGCATCACTGCCATTTAAGACAAGATACAAAACCCACACTAAGAGTTATCAAAATTGCTCACTGTCTGACGGAATAAATCTTCTTATGCCAAAATTACATACCACTACATACCACGACAACTACATATCAAACACCAATGCACATGAAGAAAACTGGCAGCATGAGTAACAAATCAATGAATCAAGCAAATGATAAGCGAAAACTGAAAAACTAAACTAACTTGCTGCACGATCGGCCTGATACTGGACAGTGGTAATGGGTTGAATTTATTTTGCTTTAGGAAATCGTATAAATTTTGCTCCAGCATTTCAAATACCAAACATGTATGGTGTTTGTGCTGGAAACACTCATAAGCCCGAACAAAGTTAAACTCCTCTGCATTCTCATTGCTCAGCCTTGATAAAATTGAAACCTGAAACAATCGTTCAACTTCTTGCGTTAAAAGTAAAGAGCCGTCAAATCGTGATAAGGGAAATTCCTTAAATCTTTTAATACTTTCTAAGATACCGGTGATGTAAAGTATAGGACGGCCAACACGAAAGAGCATTGCGTTGCTACTTCAGAACTTTCTACTTGTTTCTCGTTTTCCGTGTTCATAAGAACCTCTTAAGTTTCTTTTCTTTCTTTTAAAAGCCAATATGGTGCCACACCATTATCATGAATTTAAAATTGCAATGTGGCCAAGCCAGATACAAATGAAGTAACAAATATTTTGCCCTCTTTACACTACTATCAATGCTACTGTGACATTTATATCCAATAAGTTAAAACAAAACAAAAATAAAATGCCTCTATTTGTCCTTGTCGTGCGTATGATGGATGCTTTTTGAGTATTTTTATTGCAACGATTTCATTCGTTCCTTTCTTCCATGCTTTGACAACTTGCCCAAATGTACCTTTACCCAAAAATTCCAACACTTCATATTGGTTTCGATAGGGAGAGACGAGCACCTCATTTTTGATCAGCTATAATACAATTTTACCAATAAACAGCAAAAACGTGATTCCAAAAAATCTCGTAAGATAGAACAAATCTTCATATCCAGATGATAATGCAAAAGATCGCATTCTTCGGCATTAAATAGCATTCCACGCTTCATAATTGTTCCAAAAACCGTCAAAAAGCTCATCCAACTGAATTCATCCGAAAATTAAAAATTCATGCTGGGACATCTTGGTCTTTTACTTAATTTCTAGAGTACAATCAACAGACAATTTAAGATGCTAGTAAATAAGAGAAATACAAATGATGGGAAAAATTCAGTCAATTCAGAAAAAAATTCAGACAGAAAAATTCAGTCAATGATGGGAAAAGCAGAAAACGAAAGACGACACGAAAAACTTCAAACAGTTACAAATAGAGCTTTCCAATTTTACACATGGCAAAAAAAAAAACGCAATATTATGCTCACTCCCTCCTTTCTCTGCCAAATTTTTTAAACGAAACCTGATATTCCCCTTCTGTGCTGGGCTTCGTACGGGCGCTCGTCTTATTGTTGAATTGTTTGTTGTTATTCGTTTTGATTCCCGTCTTATTTCCTGGTAATGAATTCACTATTTGAACTGGTACGTCTACCTGAAATATTTGTTTCTCTCTGTATTCAAAATTCTATGAATTCGAAGACTGCAGAAATGAGAGTAGTGATAATAAAAATATTGAAAAATGATATAACCAGATACGATGATAGCAATATATGAAGACCAGTCAACGAGAAACGAGAAGGGAATCATGAGGAGGAAAGCAACAAAGTCAGTTCAACTTTGTCTATTGGATGCAATAGAAGAACTGATAACATGCTGTAATGTCCCCGCAGGTAATGGACCAAAAGAATAGAAAATTAGTTTAATCCTTCACATGGAAAATAATGCAAGGGAAGAAAACTGTTCATCCTTTGTCTCCACCATTAAAAAGAGTGAAAAAGGAAGAAGTTAATTTCGCATTTATGAATTAAAAAAGACATAAGCTGGTTTGGACCGAAATGGACTAATCAACATAAAATATGCGCGATAAGTGCACAATCCAGGGAAAACAACCGCTCATGTTCTGTACAGTCACAAAAATTAAAGAATTACTCTACATTTTTGCATAATTACAATAAGTCACAAGCACTCGTCTGCTCATCAAAATATTTTTAATTTATCTAAATCAACGAACGGTTGTTGCAATAGCAAATAACAGTAGCACATCAACATTATTTTTAGTTACCCAGTTAATGCATGCGGTCTGTCTTCCAATAACAGTTATATGTCAAAGAAACTGTATATCGACATATCAAAAAAGGTTTCCAACATCAACAATCTTCAGGTACATATCTGCCGATGATATGATTATATGTCGAATACCATTGTAACTTCATTTCCAGAAAGAAATTACTTTGCCAGTAATCAAATTATTTCTCAGACACAATTTTTTTCACTTATGACACATTAACTAACAAGTGGACTAAACAGAACAGATTGAATGAAAATATGGAGTTATTCTCTTCAAAAAGCAAACGCAGCAAACCTTTGAATTTTCAGTTTGATCTACAGGTTTACGTTTGACTGGTGGAGCACGATGATCGGTTGTGGTGGCGGATATGTTCTTATGCTGTGTATATGCTTCGTGCAGTTGCTGCAACTAGCTAAAAGTTAATACTATTGAAAACAGAAATATCAGTTAATTCACTAGGGCTGCTCTGACGGTTTATGGTAACACAGTCTTAGTGTTAATCTAATCACCGCCTGAACAGATGCATTATCAAGCAGTTAGCTAATCATTTAACAGTAGGTATGTCGCGTCGTCTACTAATAAAAGTACGCATCCTAAGCCATCAAACCATTTCGCTCAATTCATCTACTGGTATCAAATAGTCAATAATGTATCAATGTCATTTTGACTTATACAGAGATAACCGATGTATGCCTCACCTCCATATCGCCATGTTTCCAGGTTGGAATTTCTGGAAACAATGTTTCTAAGTTATGTAACCTGTAGACCAGTATGAAACAAAAATCGTGCAAAAAATTTGATACGAACTTACTCCCGCAATAAACCATACAAATTTTGTGAGTGCAACGAGAGCTTTTTTTAACATGCTGGTAATAAAATATGTGAAGCAAAGCGTATACGCGGAAGGCATATGATAAGTTAAGGAGTAAAATCACGACTATGAGAGTATCAATATTAAGCGGCAAGATGCTGTCACGCACTCAGATTAACTGACAAAATAAAGAATAATCACACAATATAAAGTGTACGACCGAGTGAATCGAACCTAGTGCCACAATGAACTAATGAATCGTAGTGTGAGCACAGATAAACGTAGACAGCTTTTGGCATTTATTGAAAACTGCCGAAACCGTTCAGTCGTGTTCAACATATCCTGCATTTTTCAGAATTTGTCAACAATGCATATTGAAATAAAAATATCGTCTAAGGGTATCAATCCTAACGTCATTTATTTCTCAACTTTTTCAATAGGATCTGCCAAAAATTACAAAGCATTTCAATTCCCTTTCATCAAGCGAAATTTGGGCAAAAGGCATTAGTAAAAGCATTCAGGACAAAAGAAAATATATGGCTCACAAAACGTTATCTTATTATTGAACATTCCGTATTATAATTTAGTGATAAAATTGAAGAAAAATCCGAAATGTGTCACTGTCAACTTAAGCACGTTAGTAGTATAGAAATAGTGGAAAATTAGAAATAGTGGAAAATGATGAACTTACCGTATGAGTACTTGGTGTATTGGCCAAAGTTGGCATCAGTTGATGCTGCTGCTGTTGTTGATGGTGCTGATTAAGCAGCTGTTGTAGGGGGGCAACAGAAGGCTGGCCCTCTGAATATTTACGCTTCCGGCGGCAACCGTCTTGTGGGTCGGGCATACCAAGGAAAACCCCAACGTGAATGCCGTCAAAACTGCTTGTCCCGTTGGAAGAGACTTGACTGCTTCTGTCACGGCGTGGGCGCACACGTTTTCCGCTACGGCTTGACGCACAAGCTTTCCGTTTCCGTTATAGGTATACACGTTTCCCGCTACGGCTTGACGCACAGGCTTTCCGTCACGGCGTAGGTGTACACGTTTCCCGTCGACGGTTTGCAAAGTGTTACGTCGCTACGAGTGTACAGACACATACACACACGCGCGCACATACGCGATGAAATATTATCATCACCACTGCCTCCAACTACCACTACTAATCACCCACACGAGTAAAATCCGCTTTTCCAGCTCTCGTCGTTCGATTAGTTTCACGTGAACAACTAACGCTTTGTCACCGCCGCCGTGCGCGTCACACGCGTCGCCAAGCCAAGAGATGTAAACGTTGTACGTTAAAGCCTTTGCCAACCTTGTCAACCACAACAGATTCCTCCCTCACCTCGCGCTTTTGCTGCTTTATCGCCACTGCATGCTGCCTGCCCACTTCTGCTCCCACTGTTGTCTAATCTTCTTCATTTCTTTTCCCACAAACTTTCACAAAGTAACAAAATACACTCTCATCATAATTACTCTCTCCCCATTCTCCCATTCAACCAACAGCGATACGCAGCTGAAGACCACACACTACGAGCCGATGCGCTGAATAATAATCCGCAGTGCCGTGGATCGATGTGGGTGACACCATTAAAAGACGTTCCAAATGTTGACGAAAGTTGCCGATTATGGAGAGGTGCAGACAGGAAAGGAAGAAGAGAAAGTGTATGTGTATTTCTGCGTGAATCGAATGTAAGGTGTGCGTGAGCATTCGCCAGACGACGTTTCAAAATTATTGGTGTTGTGAGGGAGCGTTTTATTGTTCCTGTTAGTTTCAAGTTTGGAATAGAAAGGGTAACCGAGAGTCACACAATATTACATTCGTGATTGACCGGGAAAGATGAACGGAAAATGTGATCGATTGCATTGATTGCTCGAGAAACTCTTATGTTAGGACCCCAATATGTTTGAGAAAAAAATCCGAACTTCAAATACTGGATGAAATGAAAGTTCGGAGAAAATGAAAATGTAATAATGAAGGGCACGATCGGTAGAAACGTCAATCGAACGATAATGACCAATGAAAATGAGCACCAATAAGCTTTATCTTTTGTGCGTTGACCTTTGACACTCCCAACAACGTTGACTTGACATCTTCACTAAACACTTTCGTAACGGATCATTGTTTTGATGATATAAATTTATAAGTGTATAATGGAGAAAAAAATGCTATGAACATGGATATCAGGGAGATTTCGTCTTTTTCTCATGGAAATAAGAAAGCTTTCTGGCTTTAATTTCCTGAAGGGTATGTTGACATGAAATGTATGTGGTATGAAATTAGGAATGGTAGAAAGGCCTTAACGGATTAAAATAATTTAACAATTAAAAAGTAATAATGTACAACATGCAGTACATATTGATGTCAACAGAAAATTATGGATCGTCATGGAAAACTTCCTGGATTGATTTTATTATCAGTCCTTTTCTGATCTCGTCTTATTCTCTACATGAGAATTAAAATTATTAATGAGGCTTGCTCTATCTGTACAGTTAGATGATATCTTTGGATCCGGGGTTCACCGGGCATGCCAATGCTTCCGGTAAATCATATTAGCTTAATATGGTTTATGTGCTACGATGCCTTCTATTCGTAGCAGTGCTAAATCATTCTGCATTATTTTATGTAACTGTTTGTTTAGTATACCTGGCTTTACTTTACTCTATGTGACACCGATACGAATTTATTCTTTAGTAACCAATCAGTACTTTTATTTCTACCGTAATTCATTTTGACTTTTCATGATTAATTTCATAAAATCAAATTTATTCATTAGCATTTTTTTACACGATACAATTAGCATGATGTCATTTTTTCCATTTGATATTATCTGGTGGAGTAATGTTTGATATGTCCAATATCATTTGAATTATTATACCAAAAACATTATTGTTTTTCTCCTATATTGTATGGAGACAGTCCAATAAAAGATATTAAGAAGTTTATATCTCTGTTTTTTTTTTTTTGCAAAATAATTTAGAGAATAAGAACTAAATACGTTTAATGGTTACTAATAAACGAACTTTGGAAAATGAATGGCAATATTTTAGTGAAATAAAACTTCCTTTTGTCTTTTCTAAAATATTTCATCCCATAATTAACATAGCATTGTATGAACTTTTCAAACGGATAAATGTGGTAGATTTCAGTATTTTAGTTCAAATGAAGAAGGCACAAATAGATAATTCTGACAAGAAACTTTCATCGTGAGAATAGCAAGAACTGAAATTTGAAAAGGAACAAAATTTCTGGCTTACCTATTCTAACAATCAACCATCTCATGAAGTATTTAAAACTTTAATTGCTATTAATTAAAAGAAAGTTTTTCACCTACGAAGATAACACCTAATAATCAACTCGAAGTATGAAAGTTTCTTATTGGGTATCTTCTTGCTTCTTCAATTTTATGATGTCAAAATTAAATTACAAACGAACAGATCACTTTTTTGAAATAATCCTTATAGTAACAGTCTCTTCAATTCTAATTCTAACTTGAAACACCGAAATATAATCAAGTAAACAAATGAATGTATAGTTCGATGATGACTTAACATCATTTTTATTGTTTGTCCTTCTAACTGACTAAACTATTTAGAACATAAATTTTTTTTGCTTAACTATTTAAGTGTCTTTTATTTTCTTTTGAATAAAAAAAAAAATCATAAAGTAACTCTGTATGAAAGTGGCTTCCAATATGTGTAATTCATTGCCTCTTTCTTTTTCTCCTGCACTCTCACCCTCTAGTAAAGCGGGGGTTGATTGATAAAATGATCAAACATAACAACTTGTTATTGAAAGAAGATATTAAATGAGCAAAAAATGCTTCACTTATAAGTATTAATTTTTCTAAAGGAAGAATGAAATGAAATCATTTATCATTTAATTAAGTTTAAATGTAAATAAGTAAATTATAACAAATTTATTGCGACAAAATTCACAATGTATCATTTGTTTTTACAAAAAATAATGCACTACACAATATGATTTCGGTTGTTTGCAGTAAACTTTTATAAATAATGCTCGATGAATTTCAAACGAAAAAATTCCTCATCGATATTGCCAACTATTTCTCCTTTTTATAGTCTGTCAGATGTCATATAAAAATATATGATTTATTTCATGGATACGAAAATTGTTATTGGTTTTTATTTGCCTTGTCGCAATTATCATTCCCGTAGACGATAGTATTTACAGATCAAAGGTTAAATTAATAAAAAAAAATGCATTAGTATGCAAAAAAAATAATCATGTTCATATTATTTGAACTTAAAAACTTAAAATCTGTATTTGTTGGTATTATAAACACAAAAAAGTTCCTTTTTTGAACATTGATTTCTCCTTCTGTACAGTTATATTATAACAGTTAATGCTTTTATCAAACTTTCAGTTTCAGATTTGGACATAATCTTTAGTTTTCATTTGTTTAACCCAAATTATTGTAATTTTGTTCTTGTAGCGCATAAAGCTATAAAGATAGATATAAACAAAATAAGATAGAATAAAGAAAAGAAAAAAAAAATGAAAAAAAAAACGAATTGCATTAGTAAGTTGTGATTTGGTAAAAAAGTTAAGTTGCAAAGTTGCCAAATGGTTAAAAGATTACAATCTCAAATTTTCTTTTTACTCTCTGATCTTTGCTTCCTCCTTCTTACGGTATTTGTCAAATTTTAATTAACACTCAGTGTACAACATTTAACTATTTTATCATTTCATCGTTGTTCGCATTTTATTGTTTCTCTCTATCAATTCAAATTTTATTTCATCATGTTGTGTAATATAAAAGTTAAAATCAATTGATAGAAGCGAAAATCACTTTGATACATTTGATTAAGTTGCTTTTTTAAAAAAAAAGTGTATATTACCAAACTGGAAAGGTAAATCACATTCAGTTAAATAGTTCTTTCGTACTTTTTTCTTCTTCCTTTTTTTTTTCTGCCATTTCATTTAGCTTACATATATACCTGTTTTTTCCCAATGTCAGATTCGTTTGTTTTTCCTTTTTTCCCTCGTTTTTATTTACACCTTATATATTTCGATCAATTGAAAATTTGTATTGCAAAATCAACAAATTTTGCATGAATTTTTTGTATTTTCTTTATGAATCTCTCTTTCATTCAGTACTTCATCAAAAAATTTTTAAAAGATGAAAAGAGTTGGAAAATTTTTGCTAGTATGCTGCAATGCAATCACCGAAATTTCTTACAAACTCCCTTCCGTTTCTTTGCTTTCTGCCATTTTTACTGGTTGGCACCTTTTTCTGTTTATCATTATTCTCTTTCTTTAAATGCATTTCAATGATGTGCTTCGATTACGAAGTTTTATTCCATTCTTAAATTTGTAAATTTGTTCTTTTGTTTTCAAATTTGGAAAAAAAAATTCATGAGAGAATTTTCTTCATTCCTCAAATATCTTCAAAATTTTCCATACAGATAGCTATAAGCTAATGTTGTCATTTAATAAAATTCATTATTTCTGGCTTAGATCAATTGGAAAGCATTGAATTACATAATTGATTGTTGAGTATCTCTTCGATCTGATTCCATTTCTTTTCTTTCTGCCATTTTTACTGGTGGAAAATTAATTATTTATATAGGATAAGAAAAAAGTGACAAATTTATAAGAAGAAATTCATTAAACAATTTAGAAATTGCAACCAACACATATATACGATTAGATCTCTAATTTTAATGTAATCGTACGCATGTCTCTTTATCACTTTCTTCTAATATTAGCCGTCAAATTATTTATGAAACACTCATGCCATTATTTGTATTTTATTATCACTAAAACCAATTGAGTGAATTACTGCGGAATAATTTTGTTACCGTAACCCAAACTTTCTTTTCCACATCTATAATTTATGCATTACCTCTATTTTGACCTTTCATACCGCAACATAATGAGTTATCGTAAAGTATAAACAATCATTTGTTAATTCGTAAAATGGTTGTAATACTAACATTGTTCTGCACAGGTGACAAATTAAAATGGCTTCAGCAATAACTTCTGCAACTGTTCGGAATGTAATCCAATCAAATATCGATAAAGTTGGTGTCTTTCGGTTATTTTTGAATGAAAAATTATCATTTTCGATTACATCAAAAATTTTAATAAATTGAACGATTGTTAAACAATTTTAAATTCTAAAAATAACTTTACTTATATGAAAAAACAAATTGAAGTATGCGGAAGGAATGCATCATGCAAAAAATGCATTGCAAGATATGATGGAACTGGTCAACATGCCCGATTTCGAGAATCATGAGGGATGGAATCAGAAAAGTGTTAACAAAAATGATATTGTATACTCAAAGCATTATGCAATTGGAAAAGTTTTCACCATGAGGGTATCTTTTTTCTTTCTCCCTTCCATTTCTTATTTTAAATGTATAATTTTTGGATCATATTACTATATAAATGATTGATTTTAAAAAACAAGTTTTTTAGTTCTTCCAAACTAAAGAAAACCTGTTCTGTTTTAAAATTAAAATCGATCTGGTTTTAGTTTTTCTAAGCTTAGTTTTTTTTTTCCAATAAGGGAAAGATTTTAAATTTTCTAATTGGTTGAATGCTTCTAAAGATATCTAGTTTTACTTGATACCAGTAAACACAAAATTACTCTCAACATGTCAACAATATTTCTCATTATCTTTTTTTTTTACAGACTACATTCGATTTCCCACTACAGGCATCTTTTGCGGAACATTGGGAAAACTTTGCCGACATTGCGAAATACAATAAAAATATCTCGGATGTTAAGATTATTGCTGAATTGGCATCCAATATGGATGTCGTTTATGTAAACACTTGAAATGTTTGAAACCATTCGCAATTAAGTACATGACCAATTTACGATCAGAAATTGCAAAAGACATTTGTTTGATAGTTAAAATAATTAATCACTGTCATCGGAAAATTCCAATTTTTCCGATGACAATGATTAATTCTACATTAAAGGGAATAGTAGGACGAAAAACAATCAATTTCATTGGGGTTTATAAAACGAAAATTCAAAACTAGCACATTTTAAAAACTTGAGACACCTTTTTCGCAATTCATGTAAAATTTCTTTTTTTTTTGAATTATTTGCGTCCAAATAGTAATGCTTCAGTATGCAATGAAAGATTTTGCAAAAATCAAGGGTCGAGAGTTTCTGATGTGTCGTACATTCCGCAGTTCTGGTGATGAAATTCTTGAAGCGGCACGAAGCTTCGATTTCAAAGGTGGCGAGCTCGATCCCCAAAAAATTCGGTCAATCAAAATTATAAATCTTTCGTTTTTTTTAGCTTTTTATATTCAACTTTTGAAATCATCCTGATAAAAAGAATTATGACGTTTAAAATAGCTCCAAAGTTTGAAAATTTAAATCTATTTTGATCAACCATTGATTATATATTATTTTATAACAATATTTTAGCTTGATTGTTGGAATATCGCTTACATAGAGGTTTTCGGACATAAGATTTTTTTGGTATGCAATGTGTAATTTATTTCAGAGGGCATGTAATACTTGCTGGTGGACGTTTCCGGGTTTGTCCTAAAGATTCAGCAAAAACGGAAGTGGATTACGTGGTGTGCGTCGATTTTAAGGAAAAAAATATTCCGAAAATTATTATGGATGCTGCATTAAGTACACTTATCACGCAAGATGCCGAATATACTCGGAAACAAATTGCAAAGCTGAAAGAGGAAGCAGTATGATATGAATCCATCAGTGGTACGCTTCTATGCAATTTCATCAATTCATCTCTGTTAACATATTTGAATAACATTATCACGCTTTTTTAAACTGTTTCCCGGAAAAAAAGATCACTTCATACCAATAACTTACTTCATTTTTTTTTAAAAAAGTATACTTCGAGAGATTAAAAGATTAATTAAACAATTTTCATCAATTTCTTCATTCACCGTTCTCGATTTATTGGAGATATACTTTTTGGATATAGAGAAAAAACTTTTTTTTTTCGCTTGATTCACGACAGGTTTCATCTTATAAAATTAGCACGTATGAATAAACGTGATATCAGTCATTTCATTGCTATAATCATATACAATGAGACGGTTCAAGGAAGAAGAATGATAAAAATATTTGTACAGCATTGAAAAATGGAATGACGATATTTAGAAATAAATATAAATGGAGGACAGGATGGTATGAAATCATCGTAATGGTTCCTCTGTCATGAATGGATTGCTGTTTACCATGATAGATAAACAAATCTTGTTGAAATAAAAAAATGCAGACCAAATCTTTTCTGGCCAATTTTATGGTATTTTCTCTGAAGTAGTTCATTTCACAACAATTTATTAACATCAAACAAGTTCCATTGTAGTAAAAAAAATTCACAGCATTCATTTAAGTTATCACAAAATCAATGTATTACACAACTTGAGCTTAAGACAGTAATGTATTTCTTCATTTCCCTTTAAAATTTAAATTGAAAGAACTGGTCGATATATCAGTTACCTTGCGATGTATTTTCCACAGTATTACGGCTCAGAAAATGTAAATGACAAATGTCACACAGTAACTTTACAATATGGTACCGCACTAGGGAAGTCACATACACTGAGTGCCGGGTTAAAAACAGTATGCTCTGGGCAAAAAAGTTTTTCCAATTTGCCCCATACACATCGATAGAACACAGAGCAGTCTTTCTCATCTGCCAAATGCTCGCCATGAGAATTTCCCTCACAGTTTGAACCATTTGATAACAACGGATCATTACCTGCGAAAAGAACATATTTTAGATAAATTCTTAAAATTTTCTGGAGGAAATATGGTAAATACCAAAAAAATGTATTTAGAATGCAAATACCTTCCTCGGATTTCTCAGAAGCAGCGGCACACTCCGGCACATTGCTTTTATAATCACAGCCACCGGATATTTCATTAAAAACAAGTCCATCACTACATGGCAGGTGTTCAAACATCTCCTTTCCAAAACACTAAAAAGGAGTAATTTCGGTAATTCGAAGTAATCTGTAGTTCTGCTGTCAGAATTACATGCATCATCTTCGAATATATGGCATTCATCGCAAGAGATAATGGAAATTTTAGCTGAAGAATTTGAGTAACCTGTAAGATCCTTGTACAGTCTGTAGGATGCCGGTATAACCCATCTGGTCGATGAATACAAAAGTCGTCGGTATCGTTGAGTTTCTCGATTCTATCGGTTAGTACATCCGATGTTTGCAGACATTCAGGATTCAGCGAACGTGCTACGCATGTACCAGCAGTTGCAGAAAATGTCTCCAAATGTTTAAAGCAACGTCTGAGAATCGGAACACCCTAAACACACAAGAATCTTATTTAATAACCGTTTCCTGGATTATTAATAGCTTACCTTCTTGCATACGTAATATTCACTTAAACATAGGCCGATCCCCTTTGAAATACCATCTATTGTATCATCACATTTTTCCTTTGCTAATGACATAGATTCACCAATAGCATCATCAACTATTCCACAAACTTCTGCTGGAACACAGCGTCCAACATCTCCATCAAACAAGTAGCCATTTGTGCAGTACGACTGAAAAATAACGATACGTAATAGGTAAAAAAGACAAAGAAGAAGGTGTCTAAGGTAAAAGGACAAGGCAGAAAATACCAGTACGTAAATATACTTGATAGGAAATCTGCTTTAAAATTGTCAGTCGATTACCTTACGAAGAGTTCCAGACTGCGTACAGAAAATATAGTCTCTTCGACAATGCTCATATGCCGCAGTTTGACTTTGTGATGCATTGCAATACATTTGCATCGTATGATTTGAAGAACCAACTGCTCGCAAATCCACAACATGAAAATTGGAGATCGAATCATTCTCGAAATGAGATGTTTCTGAAAGATCAGAATTGTCAATACTACAATAAACTGAAATTTAAGAAATTATTTGATTCTCACAAAAAAATTCTTACCGTACGCCCTTTTTCTGAACGAAATTCCAGCTTTGTTACCACAAGCAGCAACATTTCGTGGATGATCACAACGATTGTTGTTGATATTATACACGAGGTCCTGTTGACAAAAGAATAAATGACCTTCACCGTTAACACACAGGACGAACTTCCTTGAACAACCTCTCGATATTATACCGCTAAATCCTTTCTCGCATTTCCATCGTTTGATTACTTGAAATATCCGAAATTAATCAATAACCTTATTATCTTTTCTTAGCCAAAAAGAAAATAGACAATATGGACTGAACATATTTACACGTTGAATGATCAGATAATTGAGCGGTGATAAAATTTGGTTCCAGCGATTTTTCAGTGATAAAGGAGGATGTAGTGGAAAAATTCACGATATCAGTTTCTTCACAAGATGCAACATATTCTTTCTGATCACAAAATCCTGTTTCGACATTGAAAAGTAATTCATCCTGGCATACGAATCCAGTTATATGACCAGCTGAAAAATCGTGATGGAAATCATGGGAATTATGGAAACACAAAACAATCATTAATCGATTCATTTATTACAAGAAACTAACCGGAACAAACGAAGAAAAGTGGTGAGCATTTAGAAGCATACAATCCATCAGCAGCAATCATACAATCAAAACTGGAAGCATCATATGAAACCTTAGTCAAATTCACTGACGTATGAGGTAAATCATCTGAAATCAGATTTTATTACATATTCAAAAGGTAAATTAATTTGAGATATTACTAATTTAACCTTCAACCGCATTTTTTAAATTTTGAATTTAAGAGATCAGATAAAAAATCGCGACCAAACAAACTCAAATTCTGAATAATGCTTTAACTTCCTTTAAAATGGGAACAGAAATATCTATCAATACCTTCATATCTTATTCTATCTGATGATATTAAAAAAAAAATCTTACCGAATCCTGTCAATGGCGAAGGGGAACTGAATTCATTGGTCACTGAGAATATCTTTTGCTCGCCATCTTGTTCATCACATTCTGCAGTATCCTCTATCCTGTTACATGAGCTTGTTATCTGCAAGTTCATTCCCTTTTACTTCAGCTCTATCCAAATTTTGAAAGAACTAATTGAACAAAATGCAAGAATAAACGTACATTATTAATCATACAAAACTCAAACAGAAAAAAAATTGAAAATTTGATAATTGGATTCTTTGCCTGATCGAAAACAAGATCGCCGTCACAAATGAATACATAGGCGGTACCGCCAGCACATATAACAAAAGAGGGCGAACATCCAAGAGATACGGTACTATTAATTGAGCATGTAAAGTTTGGTAACGTGGAGAATACTTCAAGATCAGCATTTGGCATCGCAATTTTTGCCTCTTTTATTACGTTTTCAAGATTTGAATGGTCTGAAAAATGTTTAAAAGGTTAATGTTAGATATCTTTGAATTTCATGTTCATTCTCTTCGATTTCTTCTTTGAACTTTACTTTTGTTATGTTTTGTAGCTGCCACAATTCATTAAAAATCGCTTCCATGCCATCAGATAAAAGCGCTTAATTACATAATTTTTAAATTTAATAAATGACTCTCTGAACTTAGCAAAGAATGTTCATAAGTTGTACTCTCACCATTGCAACTTGATACACGTTCTTTATAGTCGCATTGCTGTTTATTTCCATCATAATATAATCCATCTACGCAGCTTCTTAACAATGTTTTGTTGGATACACAGGAAAGAAAATACTTATTACAACCTGGCAAAGCGTAAGAACCATCCGACAATAGAGTGCATGGGGTTTCTGCAATGTAGCAAAAATATTTCGGCACAGAATGGAACTTAGCGTGTCCAACTTCGGACCTTTGCTTTGACATATGAGATGTGCTATGGACTGTGCTGCCATCTCTCTGACGATCCGAATAGTCGAAAAATACCAGGAATAGTAAAGTACAAATTCATAACCTCAGAGAGTCGAATAGCCTTTTGAACTACTCGAATTAACATATTTTCTATAAAACAAATTTTAATGGCAATTTTCTAATCCTCTTACAACCACTGTTAAGCACTGAATCAGCTAAATCATACTTTCATTTACATCACTCTGACGATGTGCTCTTAATATACAATCTGTTGCAGGGATACATTGTTTTAATCTGTTATCGAACAGCTCTCCATCGTTGCAGTCTACCAGATAAGCGAAATTTTCCTGCAAATTTATTAGAGAACGAGAGAAATTAAAAGCATAAAGCTCAACGGCAGTTAATATGTTTGTTTCAAGCCGAAACAGAAGCACATTTCAAATATCTCACCTTCCCATTGCAAAAGATGTAACTCGGATGACAAACACCTAACGTAATATTGGATGAATGTGTTTTAGGACAGAGACTTGGTTCGCTTCCGAAATAACCATCCTAGAATATTAAAATACAAGCTCATTATCTGCTAACGAGTAAAGAATATAGTATTACAAGGTGTAGCAAAACAATTATTCTACCTCCAATTCCGTATCCAACTCTGCTTCCCATTTCTTTTCCAATCCTGTTTTTAATTCGATTTCCCTTTCAGAAAGCTCAGTATCAAATAATATATCACGCTTCACGCGACTATTATCGGTTACTGCAGATGTATTGTCACCTTCACCACTACCTGAGATAAAATTATCAATCACAAATTTTGTTCCTAAAACTCAGCACTATTAACTGTTTCTTGAGTACCAATAACTGTTTTCAACCTTCTAGACTATCTACTGCTCCATTTCTATTGGTGGTCCCATCAGAATCCAATTTCACTGTTGAACCATGCCTGAAAAACACTTTTAAGACCGAAAAGCTTCGAACATTTAATAACAGCAGCGACTGTTTAAAAAAGCAAAAATCTACTTACGAAATAAGAGCTCGTGAAGCTCCAAAAGAATACATCGGAAGATTACCAGGCAAATGAAACTGATCAATAATTCCCATAGTTCGCATGTTCTACAAATAGTTCATCCAATTTTTATCATAGATTTAAAAGAAAGCAAATTAAGAAGCTCTGTTTTAGACTTTAACACGCTTACCGGAACGTTTCCGAGCAAAGTTGGAATAACGCGGAAAGTGTCTTTAACGTTTCTCAGCTGACCAGCTCCAGTCATCTGCGGAATAAATATATTGCGTGATGGAGTTCGAAACGTGCCAAAAAAGATATTCGGAACTGTATAAAAACACCATATATTTAAGATTTCGAAAATTCTTCGATTACTTAAGAATCGGAAAATATAAAACTGAGTAAGAAAAAACCCGAAACATGAAAAGAATTATAAAACTATGAGAAATTACTTCTGTATGGAGTAATTCTGATGGATTTTGTATACGGCAACTTCAACCTATGCCGATTTCTATCGTACTTGTTTCGTGTTAAGTACGGATTTAATTGTAATGGATGCTTAAATGAATCATGCACACGCTGAAAATGTGAACTTGAGATATGAAATAAAAAGAAGTCAAATGTAAAATAAGTATTTAAACCTTACATATAATGCAGGAGCAGAAATGGAATTTCCAAAACATTTCATAATTTCGTACTGAAATCGGCAAATAAGTAGTACTGGGTCGAAATATTTGTTCTGAAAAATAATCAAAATTCTTTTCCTAAATCATAGATTTGTAGATATAAGTACGTAGGACTCAGAATTATTATGAAAACACTTACATTCATGCAACGTCTCAATTCGAAGGTTTGATGTGTGCTGCATTCCAAGTACGTATTCTCACAAGGCCCGAGAGGGACAACTTCACCAGGATTACATGGCGATGTACTCGTAAAACCATCAGCTTGGCATCCACAAAGTTCACATTTCGAGCCGCAAACTCCATGAACAATATCAAAAATATGACCAGGAGGACATTTGTAAAGGACAAATTTGCCATTTGAACATGTGTAATAGTAATCATTACATTCGCCAATTCCAAAACGTTCATTTTCAACGCATCGAACCTGCAGTATAAATTTTAGCTACTCAAATTTCAATAAAGAAATTTTACAGATATACCTTGCCAATATCAAGAGTAGTGGATAACATAGAACAACGATCCAAAGATATGCAATGACTAGAACGTTGGTCGAAAAGTCGCCCTGTTTGGCATCTCATTAAAATTGGTATTTGTTGGACACATTTAATGTATATTGGTGAACATTGCCTTCCATAATTTCCGTCTTCTTTATTTGCGCATGAAAAATCACCTAGACAGATAGGATTGTTAAATTATAAAGTTATAAATATTTTAGTTTCATTATCAATTATTAAATCCTTACAACGAATTGGAACTTACCAATTGAAAGAGGTGAAATCGATGGTGTAACTAATTCAACTTTTCCTAAATAAACTACACCAACAAAGTCCGATCCACACGAATTCTTTTCAGTGCATTTCCAAGATTCATCACATTTTGCGAGTGCCGGAATGAAGAACTGTCCCTGTGGACATTCATAAATTTTTTTCCAACTACCACTACAAATAGCAACTTTATCCGAACAATCCAATGCATATAGTCCATCATCCATGTTATCACATCTGATTGAATCTATAAAATTTTTTCATATCCGTAACTACACCTACGTGCAAGAAATCGAACAAAAAACTCTCGAGGTTTAAATTTTCACAACGAACCTATCCGGTTTCCAGATACTTCTGGAACACAAAATCGAATCCTATTTTCTTCTTCAGGGTGTGATTCTATTGTTGCTGCTTCCTCGGCTGAAATAAATTGCATCGTAAAAACAAAAGCAAGATTCCTACCCGACAATTGCTCTTGGCTATTAGCTACAGAATGCTCTCCCCTATAATGTCTGTATGGCCTTGTATGGGCATCGTTTGAATGGCTCAAAAATAAGTCATCAAGTCATTAGTCAATGTTGACCAGTGAATAACCTCCTCTACTTTTTTTCCTTAAAGTTTCTGAGAATATTTCCATTAACACTTGTGTATCGAGATTGTATTTTATAGAAGAAAAATCGAAAATACTAAACTTACTTGATACTTGGTTGATCTTTCCACTATCACTAGCTTCATTGATACACTGTTTTCTAACATATTCACAACGGTTCACGTCTTCACCAGAAACTAAATTTGAAGAGTCAAATACGTGAAATTTTTGTTAGCATAGTTCACAAGTGACTGTCATCAACAAAGAACTTACCTGAGGCTCCCCTGAATATTCTTTGTATTATTAGAATTTCATGACAAAAATGGAAACAACAAATTTACCTGGCATATTAATGGCATTTTCATTGAGTGTATCGAAGCACTGTACTTGAGATTTACAATTTTCTGCAACTGCACCGGAAAAGTAAACCTTATAAAGCAGTTAAAGCTTATTCCGTGTGTAATCCTACATTTTCTTAATTGTCAATGTAGGATAGAATCTCAAACCTCTATTTTTGCGCCTATATGTATTCTAAATGTGCATTCCTGTTTCTAATTAATGGCACACGTGGAATACGTGAAGAGCGTGTATTTTCCAGTTAGTAAGAAACCACTCACTATAACCACTTCATAAAGGTACTACGATAACGATTCAGAATGACTGTACAGACAAGTTACAATCATGCGAATTATTCTTTACAATAACTTTGCCTATTTTCTAACTCTCAAGATGGAAAAAACATTTATTACTAACCTGAGCTACTAGCTTCCCGTGGTGGCAGTCCAGGACTAGAAATTGATGGTGTAATTACAACGTTCTCTTGTTTCATCCACTCTGTAAAGAATTGGATTTTTTTCAAGAATCTACAGGAAAACTCTTGAAATTCTGTGACACCGAAAGAAATGATGATGACCTTTATGAGTGTCCAGTCTATGTGATGGATAAAACGAAGCTAATACTCGGTACATCAAAAATGCGCACTGGTCGTAAGATACGCACCGACGCAAAACATTCGAAAATACCATTGAGTTCGGACATTTCTTACGGATTTCAGAACCATCGACGCAAGTTATGAAGTCCGAAACACAACCCGCCGAATAGTCACCATCCGCTAATTTATAACAGCGTGGCAGTGGATATTTGGTATCTACGAAACAGAAATTTTTATGTAAATTAACACATAATGAAAATTTGAAATTGGCAATACGACAATCTTTTGAAAGGACACATTAAGATTTATGTTCACAAGCAAAAATATAATCCTCACCTTCTTCAGTTAGCTTATTTTCAGCATCATCATTTCCTACACTTCCAGGTGCTACATGTGGTAATGTAATTACTCGATTACAAGCTTCTTTTGGAACACAAGCAGAAAGAGTTCCATTAAAGATCATATCATCTGGACAATATTTCACTATTCCTTTCTAAAACACTCTCTAACATACTCTGAATGCACGAATTACGAAAAATATAAATGGGAATAATCTGAAATTAAAAAATTTTTTTCGCAAAATCTACCTGATTGTAACATTGCAAATAGCTCCTCAAACAAGAACCCAATGGATAAATGTTATCCTTTCGTCCTACACAGAATGGTATAATTGTAGAAGTTATCAATTGTTTTGCTACATCCTGCCCATCGGATACACAATTATTTCGGCATTCTGCGACATTTTCTGGCTTTTCACATCGATTGATTGATGCATCAAATACAAGTGTTTCAGGACATGACATCAACACTTTTGTCGTGTGCTAAATTAGCTAATTTGATGAAAAATTAAAGTGAATGACAAAAAGTCGAAATGAGATACTTACAACACATGAAAAGAAAATTCTCGAACACAATCCAGCTGCATAATTCGCATCAGGACGACCATCACAAAATTTATCATCGCTTTTCATTATCACACCAGGTGAGTTACATATAGGAGACTCAGTTTGGACACAAGCCTGAGCTTCAGCGAAATTTCCACATCGACGAAATTTACTGTTGTAGAGCATCCTATCAGGGCATGTAAACAAATACGTTTTTCCTTTCGCACAGATATAAAAGTTTTTCGAACAATTATACGAAAATATCCCATCTGGCCGAGCAGCACACTGGGCATCTGTAATTAATAAGTCCTCAGGCAAATGCGATTTGAAACTCCCACGAATATTTTGCAAAAATTGGTAACTTTGACTTCAAATTCAATCCTTACAAACTGAACATAAATTTCACCTAATTTATTTTTAATCGGTTGACTGATTTTCCCGCATGCGACAACGTCAGACCGCAAGGCACATCGCAAATTGTCTGAATTAAAAACCAACGGATCAGGACAACTGGCCAAATTAGTAACGCCATCTCGACATATAATATAATCCGCTAAGCAAGAACCAAGTTGATAGGCGCCATTTGAAAGAGCAGTACAACTTGGCATGAGTGGCGCAGTACCGTCAAATAATGATGATGGCATTTCTTCACTTCTGCAACACCAGTTTAGCCACGACAGCCATCATGAAAAATGGAATGTGTTTGGATTACAACAAAAGTATCTGGATCACATACTTGCAAGCTTCGACATTATTTGGCTCATCGCAAATACTACTACGATAATCGAATGCGAGATTCCACGGACAATTCATATAAAATGTCTCGCCATTTGCGCAGCCATAATATATTCTGCTACAACCCTCCACATAAAAACCGTCGCTTAAGTTCTTACATTTTGAAATATCATCTTAAAAAAACAAAATTAGTTCCGGTAGTGAACAAGAAGCATGTAATCAGCTAATTTACAAATAATTGGGATACATCTTATATAAATTGTTACACAGCAGAGGGCTAGTAATTCATGCATACCTTCTATGGGTTTAATCGCAAGACTATGTATCGGTTTTTTGATTTTATCTGATGTCTCGTTGTACTGTGCACAGCCAGGCACATTCTCCCTGAAAAAAAATATTGAAGAAATAAAGATAAATGAATATCAATGATATACACATTTAATAATTTGCATGATATGTTACCTAAAATCGCATTGATTTACGGAAGGATTGAACACCAAATCAAATGCACATTTTGCAAAAGACGTTGCACCACGCAAGCAATGGTAATATCCGGAACCACAAGGTGATAAGCCATAAATGCCATCTTCCAAAATTGAACATCCAGAAACTAAGTTGGAAGTGATTCCTCCTCTTCAAAAAAATATTTCATCATTTTTGTAATTACAATCAAGAATTCTAAAAAATAGATGATTTACTCATCAGTGCCGACTTCATCGCTCATCATCGGTCGATATCCACCACAAGCAACAACATTCTTCGGATAATCGCAAAAACCACTATCAACGTTGAAAACTAAATCCCCTGGACATTCATGTCCAGTTGAAATACCATTTGAGCATGAATAGAATTTCTCCGTACATCCTGCTGCATATAGACCATCTCTCTGTCCCTTACAACGACAGTCTGCAAATAAACGCCAATTCCCGTCAGATTTTATCCCGCTTAACTGGATTCTTTTTATAGAATTTGAGAACGAAATGTTAGAATCTGAGAAGTTTATTGTTTTCCGAGATCAAACCATTTGCAGATACCTGTATTTTCGTATAATAAAGCTGACTTGTCCCGTCTTTGTTTGTTTTTCCTATACTTCAAGCATTTTTCAACTTTAAACTTGTAGTCACAGTGCCCTGTTTGCCCATTATACACAAAATCCGGATCACATGAACCAGTACTTCCCTCTCCTGAAGTATACAATTACAGAGTAAAACGGCAGAAATTATTCGTCCTATATTACATTGAAAACTGAAGAGTGGTAGAAAGCTAACCATTAAAACAAATTAAAAAATTCTGTTCACAATTTCCTAGTTCGTAAACCCCATCGGGAAGTGAAGAACACTGAGCTGAATATCTGAAACAATAAGCAAAATATACAAAAGTCTAATCATCTAAATTCAGATACTTTAATCGATTTCTATTAGCAAAAAATTAAACCTTACCCGGTAATGGTGGTTGTTTCTGGATTTGCTAAATCAGCACAATAAGGTATCTTTCCGGCATCCATACACTGTTGATGTTCAGGTGAGAACAATTGTCCACGACTGCAAACAACGACAAGACCTCTTCCATCAATACAAAAAAGATATTTTTCATAGCATTTCGCAATGGCATACATGCCATTTTCCCACTTTCGACAAATATTTTGCCTCCGATAAGATCCCGTCATCTTATCGACAATTCCTGAACAGCGTTTCTTAGATTTGAATTTATGTTCTTTGAAAAATTCCTCTCAGAATCACATCGACATGGAGTTAATGGAATCTTCTTCTTTATGAGATTTCCTTACTTGCTATGAGATCCAAGCCCGATTTTTTTGAATTCCCATCTATCCAGCTTCCCAGAGCAAACATACGCAGCTTTCTGCCCTTCAAATTACTGAATAACTCATAATACCGTACCTGTATGTGCTATTTGTTCATGCGCTTCTTCGGTTTTTTTGAACTTTGAACACTTTTCAACACTGAACTCATAGTTGCAATGTCCTGTTTGTCCGTTGTAGATAAAACCCGGGGCACATGAAGCATTACTTCCCACTCCTAAATACAGAAGTACAGAGTAAAGCATCATAAGCTATCATCTGTCGACATTACTTTCTACGTGAAAGGCCGAAAATCCAAAAGATTAATCAAGCTGAACACTGATCAAGGAGAATTTAATAAGGAGCTTGGTTAAAAACAAGAATAACAAGTCGGTAATGTCTAGGAAAACTAACCATTACGACAAATTGAAAAATTTCTTTCACAATCTCCCAACTCATAGATCCCATCGGGGAGCGAAGAACATGAAACAGAATATCTAAAACAACAAGTAGTATGAACTCTCAAAAATGTTTCAGTCACCAAATTTGAACTTTCTAAAACTTTCTAATTGACTCACCTATCAGCTGTTGTTGTCTCCGGATCCATAAAATCTCGACAAAACTGCAAATTTCGAGCATCCGTACATTGCTGATATTCTGGTGAGTACAACTGACCGTTATGGCATTTAACGATTAAACTTCTTCCACCGATGCAAAGAAGAAATCTCTCATAACATTTACCAATGGCATATTTTCCGTCTTTTCGCTTTTCGCAAATGTCATGTTTCTGGTGAGGTTTCAACATCTTGTGAGTGATTTCTGAACAGTTCAATTTTTTACTTCTCCCTTCGATCTTTAGAGCGGAAAAAATATCCTCTATTTCATTGCATTACTCTACAAAATCTTCTTGATATATACAGCAACCAAGTGTTTGACCCACCTCTGCTAAATCTTAAAACTTACGCTTTCTCGAATTCTGTCTTGACTTCCTAGAAATTTTTTCCTGAGAATTAATGGACTTCATTTCATCTTGATCGATGCCTCCACATGCTGGTATCGTTTCTTTGAGATCGCACTGAAATAGCAAAATTAAAGAATACCAAATTAGGATTATAATAAAAAACAAACTTACTCTTAGCTTATTGATGCTAAAATATAAATCCTTTGGACACTTGGAAAGTGATGCTGTCTCACTGTTACAAAACCAAAAAACATTCGAGCAGCCATCGACGTAAACACCATCATTCTTTCCAGTACAGTCAAACTTCACTGCAAGCATAACATTTTTTGTAAATTTTTAAATAAGTAAACCAGTTGGCTAATGAACACTTAAAGCTTATCTGCTTTCTTCTTCCTCAGAAATAAATTTCGGAGCTTAAAAAAACGCAAAAAAAGCTTACGTCGACAATAGATAATATTGATCTTTGGTTCACATCGACTTTTATCACTATTCCAATACATCCCATCAGCACAAAATATTCTTTTCGCTTTCCCATTACGACACGATAAATACCACCGTTCGCATGGTCCAGCCTGAAATTAAACTTATGATCCTACCATAAAATGTTCGGTCTTTCGAGAGACATAGACAGAGAGAGAATATTTTTTTTTTGCTAATTTTTCCATTTTACCTAATCCCTTCTTTATGGCATAAAATTAGAACTAATTAACCTCATAAAAACCGTCTCTCTGTCCTGCACACTTCATTGGATCCACTTTCTCCTTTTTTCTTAACGGATATTTCTCTCTACGTTCTCTTACTGCCAAAATATCCATGCGTTCTCCCTCATATTGTCGTATTTGACCATTCCGATGTTCGGGAATCGGCAAGTTATGTGATCGTACACTATCATAAGCTCTCTTCGTATGCTTCCGAATCGGTTCGAATAATAATTGCCGTACCTTTCCCACATTCCAAATTTTACCCACATCATCCACGTTCAAGCTGTATTTATCACTATCATCCGGTACCTTATGAGGTATATCACTAGGTGTTATTAATTTCAAAGCTTGCATGGTTGATGATCTAAATTACCGTCGAAAAGTAAAAAGAAAATAATGATGCTGGAAATGAAATGAATAATGTCTATTTGAGGCTCCTCTTTTCTCTTTACCGCAAGGATTTGATTTTTCAAATTGAACAAGCTACCTCAGGTCATCGAGATGTACTTCAAATTACAGTACTACTCAGTAATCATACCCTAAAATGAGTTTGTAACAACCGACCGAGGAAGGATGTTCACTTCTTTCTCTTTGATACTTAATTGATTAACCAGTCTCGGCCTATGCTCTTGATGTTTTGTTATCCATTGCTTTTTGACTTTATCGTATGATCCTGAATGATTTTCTCCAATATATTGTATAATCTGATGAACTTGATCTACGAAAATCCCATCTTATCCACATTAAAAGCAAATGTAGGTAAATAATGATGTCTAGAATATTAATGTTACGAAGTCTGAAATATGAATGATAATATACTCTAAAAAAATTCCGGGAAATCCTATCTGAAGAAAAAAAAAGACAGTATCTCACTAATACTTGTCAGAATTTATCCAGCTTATCTGATATAGAATGCTTGAAACAGTGATATGAACATTACCATCGAGAAATCCTGGATGTTGCATACGTTCCACTTTTGTACAAATCACGTAACAGAATGTGAATGCGATGAGTACGAGTAACAGCGTCAGAAGTTGTAGATTCATCTTACGTCGCTCACCGCGTTACTAGCCACCTCTGAAGAAAGTTGAAGTTGCGCTTGTTGATCCTACTCAATCTACGACTCGATAACCTACCGTTGATAAATGAGACTTTGTTCTACCCTACAGGTATATATAGGTATATAGAGGTAGTAGATAGAAAATTGCCCAGAAGTATTGTGGATGTGGAAGGTAATGAATGATATGCCCTTGTTTGACTGATATGCAAATTCGACCTCTATTCCATCTCTACA